CAAGCTGTAACATAGAAACTACTAGTTTCTTTATGTACAAATAACCTTAAAACTCCTAACAGTATATATCTATTTGTACCTAATTTTAATTGGTTTCTTGCCCTTACAGTTGTGTCTAATTAAAAATCCTGTATTACTTGTAAATCAGTTGACGAATGTGTAGCTTATGTTACTGTATTGAACACTTAACCTACAATCTGTTCATGAGCATACTTCATGAAGAATTTTTATTATTTTTCATTATCTTACTTAACCTAACCTAAGGTTATTGTGATTAATATATTTTAGTGGATTTAATAAAGATAAAATATAGAATGTACATCAGAAACAAGAAATATATCACTTTAGCCCTAACCTCTTGTTTTTTGTTGTCATTTACTGAATAAGGTTAAGCCTACTTTTTTAGACTTATGGTACAAATACATTAAATTTTTATTTAATCAGTTAATGCACCTAAGAGTACAGAATAGTAATACACACAAAGTAAACAATGTTCTGTAGCTATCATAATTTATTTGGTTTTCTAAATTTTAAAGTTTCACTTATGCTTGTCTTCCTAAACATCTACATAATCCTATCGTGACGGGTCGTGTGTGAAAGGCCATGTCATCTTGTTTGTTGACTTGCATTCAAAATTTTATTGAACCACTATTTTATGAACCTATGTCAATAAATATGGTATAAAATTTTAGATTATAATTCAAATTTTAGTATTATAAGTTAGTTAATTTCTTAATTTAAAAGTAAATAATAAAAACACAGCTAAACATTGATTTTTGTGTGTGTCATGTGTAATGTTGAATGCATCACTGGTTTGAATTATATGTTTGTGATCCAGATAGAAAGTCTATAGTTTTGAATGAATTAGAAATTCAAATAACCAATATTGACAAGCTAGAATATAATATAATATAAGAACGTCTTTTCTTTTCTACATGCTAAGATATCACTTGTATTGAGTCAAACACAGTGGACTTGCTCACCTCTTTCCATTTTTGGAAAGACTCCGTTATGTACACTTACCTCAATACATGACATGAATAATGAATCACAAGCTCAGAATGTACCCTAGTGGTTTTGTCAGCCATTTTGATGTGTTAGTGTGGTAAGATCCTTCTTTTCACACAATATTTCAAACAATAAGTCTTCAGTGAGCTCGAAATTTCATATATTTGGACCCAAATACTACTTAGTTACTACACTTCATAAATTATAGTGGAATTCTATACTATCAATATAGTAATTTATTATTTTTCGGTTATTTAAAATATTTTTATAAAACCTAAAAAAAAACGTTTTCTTTTCACATCTTCCATGTGGGAAATTTCATAAGGCTTAGCAACCTACGACTGTTAAAGTAGACAAATCTTTAGATTATATTATGATAATCACCACTTCAAGTTAGAAAATACTAACAGGCTGAAAGTAGTGTTGGTTGATGTTAAAATGTACTATCACATTTGTACAGGCAGTTTTAGATGTTATCTACTGAAAATGTCTTGAATATGGTACGTTACCAACAGTTTATGTTTTTAATGCTATTCTGTTCTGGATAGAAAATGTTTTTACAAATTTTAAACTTAGTTATAGCTCTATTATTTCTATATATTCATATTTGTGTTGATCATGTTTGAACATTAAAATATATTTACATGTTCATAAAATTAAGTAATGTATGATATATTTATTGTTACTTAATTTGTGACATCATTTATATCCACTTTAGATAAAGAGACCAATGGGAACATCTGTAGTGGAAGTCAGTTTCCTGGTTATGTTATAAAACAAGAAAATCACTTTACAGAAGACGTAAAATCCCAAAATAACAATATTAGTGGAGAAACAAAATTAAGTGGAAATAACCTAAAAGCATCTAACATTCATCAGTGTGATGATAAACTATACAGTTGTGGAAAAACATTTGATAACCTAACACAACAAAAGAAGACTTATTCTGGAGAGAAACCGTATCATTGTGTAGTTTGTGGAAAACAGTTTGAGAGTAACAGTCACTTAAAAATACATAAAAGAAAACACACTGAGGAGAAATCACATAGTTGCACAGATTGTGGAAAACAGTTTAGATACAAGAGTGCTTTAAAAATACATGAAAGAATACACACTGGGGAGAAACCATACAGTTGTACAGTGTGTGGAAAACAGTTGCGATACAAGAATGCTTTAAAAATGCATGAAAGAATACACACTGGGGAGAAACCATACAGTTGCACAGATTGTGGAAAACAATTTGGAGACAAGAGTACTTTAAAAATACATGAAAGAATACACACTGGGGAGAAACCATACAGTTGCACAGACTGTGGAAAACAATTTCGAGACAAGAGTACTGTAAAAAAACACGAAAGAACACACACTGGGGAGAAACCTTACAGTTGTCAAGTGTGTGAAAAACAGTTTGGAACAAACAGACATTTAAAAGTACATGAAAGAATACACACAAGAGTGAAACCTTACAGTTGTGCAGTGTGTGAAAAACGGTTTAGAGAAAAGTGTCATTTAAAAGATCATGAAATAATACATAGTGAGGAGAAACCTTACAGTTGTAAAGTGTGTGGAAAACAGTTTAGAAGGAGGAGTCAATTAAATGTACATGAAAGAATACACACTGGGGAGAAACCTTACAGTTGTACAGTGTGTGAAAAACGGTTTGGAAACAAGAATTATTTAAAAATGCATGAAATAACACACACTAAAGAGAAACCTTACAGTTGTACAATGTGTGGAAAACAATTTAGAGAAAATTATAATTTAAAAGAACATGAAATAATACATAGTGAGGAGAAACCTTACAGTTGTACAGTGTGTGGAAAACAGTTTACAAGGAAGAGTGGATTAAAAGAACATGAAAGAATACACAGTGGGGAGAAACCTTACAGTTGTACAGTGTGTGAAAAACGGTTTGTAAACAAGAATTATTTAAAAAAACATGAAAGAATACACACTAAAGAGAAACCTTTTAGTTGTACAATTTGTGAAAAATGGTTTAGATGGAAGAGTCTATTAAAAGTACATGAAAGAAAACACACGGGGGTGAAACCCTATACTTGTACAGTGTGTAAAAAACAGTTTGAAACAAAGGGTCGCTTAAAAATACATGATAAAATACACACTGGGGTGAAACCTTACACTTGTACAGTGTGTGAAAAACAATTTAGAGAAAAGTATAATCTAAAAGAACATGAAAGAATACATAGTGGGGAGAAGACCTTACAGTTGTGCAGTGTGTGAAAAACAGTTTAGATGGATGAGTCAATTAAAAATACATGAAAGAATACACACTGGGGTGAAATCTTACAGTTGTACAGTGTGTGAAAAACAGTTTAGAGAAAAGTATTACTTAAAATATCATGAAAGAATACATAGTGGGGAGAAACCTTACAGTTGTAAAGTGTGTGGAAAACAGTTTAGATGGAAGAGTCAATTAAAAGTACATAAAAGAATACATAGTGGGAAGAAACTTTACAGTTGTACAGTGTGTGAAAAACGGTTTTGGAACAAGGATTATTTGAAAATACATGAAAGAATACACAGTGTGGGAAATGTTATAGTTGTACTGTGTGTGAAAAACGGGTTGGAAACAAGGATTATTTAAAAATACATGAAATAATACACTGGGGAGAAACCTTATATTTGTACAGTGTGTGGAAAACACTGTTGAACAAATCTTGAATTAAAAGTATATGAATGAATACACACTGGAGTGAAACCATACAGTTATACAGTGTGTGAAAAACAGTATTGGAAGATATAGTAAATTAAAAATACATGAAAAAAAACACACTGGGGAGAAACCTAACAGTTGTGTGTGAAAAACAGCTTGGAACAAAGGTCACTTAAAAATACTAGGTAGAATACACATTGGGGTGAAATCGTATAGTTATATAGTGTGTGAAAAACAGTTTGCAACAAACAGTCATTTATAAGTACATGAAAAAAAACACACTGGGGAGAAACCTTACAGTTGTACAGTGTGTGGAAAACGGTTTAGAAAAAAGGATCATTTAAAAATAAATGAAAAAATACACACTCGGGAGAAACAGTTGTAAAGTATGTGGAAAACAGTATAGAAGAAAGAGTCAATTAAAAGTACATGAAAGAATACACAGTGAGGAGAAACCTTACAACTGTACAGATTGTAGAAACAGTTTGTAACAAAGAGTGCTTTAAAAATACATGAAAGTAAACACACTGAGGAAAACTGTATTGTTGTATAAATTGTCGAAAACGGCTTGGGAAAAAAGTCACTTAAAACAATATAAAAAAACACGCACTAGGGAGAATTCTTATAGTTGTACAATGTATGAAAAAGACTTTGGATAAAACAGTTCCTTAACATATCATGAATGTATACATAATTAATAGAAACCCTGAAGTTGTGAGTTATGTAGAAAGCTATTTCTAAGTTAAGTTTCTCTTAACTTAAAAAACATGAAGGGAACACATACTGGGCTGAAACCTTACAGTTTTGTAGTATGTAATAAAGATTTTAGAACAAATAGGAATACATTCTATAGAGATAACTTACAGTTTTTCAGTTTATTTGAAACAATTTGCAACAAAAGATAGATTAAAAATACTTGAGAGAAAACATACTGTTGTCTACTGTGTTGTGAATAATTTGGAACAAACAGTAACTACTAGTGAATGTGATAGTTGTTTATAAGTTGTTGAACAACAAGAGACAGGATTAAGGTGTATAGATCTATCTTTGGTGTGTTTTCGATACCTGTAATTGGGAATTATTGTGTTAGTGTTGACAACAAAAGAAATTTAACAAATCATTAGAACCAGTATCTTTATGTTAATATTCCAGTATATACTAAGAATGTACTGCTATGATTGATTTTCATGGATTTGAATAAACACTTACAGCCTTCTGGGACTTGAATTATATTGAACTATCAGTCTCATATGCATGGTATTCATTCAGTTTCTGCTAAGATGATAAAAGAATAAATAAAATAGTGTTAAACATTTTCATATAAGTCTTTACATTTCTAGATATTTAAATTACACATTTCAAAAAGGAACTTTAAAAGTATTGATGTCAGTCAACATGTTCAGAGAAAAGAGTATTAGAAGATTTTGTTATAAACAACCACTTAAAATGGGAAGATATCTCTCAGATTAACCCTGAAATCAGTAACTTAAAGTAATGTTGATTGGTGTAACAATTTACCATCATATTTACATAGTTGAATTTAGACTTAGCCTTAAATATGGATTTATACTTACATTTTCCATGTTGTCTGTCACTAGAGATATTAGTAATAAACAGTGCTGTTTTGTAATGTATGGAAAGGAATGTGAAACAGTGAATAACTTAAAATAACATATTTTACATAGGAGGGAAACCTTACAGTTGGGCAATTTGTGAGAACATATTTAAGTAACTGTAACTTAAAAATACATGAAAAGACACATAGTAGTAGAGACAAACCATGCAGTTGTTTAGTGTGTGTGTAATATAATACATCATGGCTGTAATGGATTCTGTGTATAAAATATAATACATCATGGCTGTAATGGACTATGTGTATAAAATATATCAGCTGTAATGGACTGTGTGTATAAAATATATCAGCTGTATGGACTATGTGTATAAAATATAATACATCATGGCTGTAATGGACTATGAGTATAAAATATAATACATGGCTGTAGTGTACTGTGTGTATAAAATATAATACATCATAGCTGTAATGGACTATGTGTGTATAAAATATAATACATCATGGCTGTAATGAACTATGTGTATAAAATGTAATACATCATGGCTGTAATGGACTGTGTGTATAAAATATACATCATAGCTGTAATGGACTATGTGTATAACATATAATACATCATGGCTGTAATGGACTATGTGTATAAAATGTAATACATCATGGCTGTAATGGACTGTGTATAAAATATAATACATCATAGCTGTAATGGACTATGTGTATAACATATACATCATAGCTGTAATGGAGTATGTATATAAAATTAATAAATCATGGTTATAATGTACTGCCACGACAGCGGGGGTCACGTGACGCTAGTAACACGTCATGAACTTCTAGAAGGATCCTGTCCCTTCCTGAAGTCTCGAGAGGCTACTAGATATGCGGTAGTCTTGTATATATAAGTCGCCAAGAAGTGACGTCAACAATGTGTAATTGACAGTTGAGTCGAGCGTGAGACGTTCGCTGTGAATTATAGCGTTTGTTATAGCGCGACTGTGGAAATTATGTGTATTGCAAAGTTGTATTCAGAAACAATAAACCAGTTTTATTTAAGAAAGGAATTGTATCGGTAAAGTTTCTTCGGAAAGTATTGTTACGGAAAAATAACGACGAGAGACGTAACAAATTGGTGTCAGAGAGTGGGACAAAAAAAAATGGAAACGAGAAGCGGCAAATCAAACTACAGTTTAGCAGACTTGATGGCAGCAAAAGAAACAAGAAGAGAGATTACAGCAGTAATTGAAGGAAAAAGAAATAAGAAGAGAGATTACAGCAGTAGTTGGAGGAAAAAGACACTAGAAGAGAAATTACAGCAGTTGTTGGAGCGAAAAGAAAAGAAACAACAAGAGAAATTACAGCAGTTGTGGGAGGAAAAAGAAAAGAAACAAGAAGAGAGACAATAGCAGTTGCAAGAAAACCTGCAACAGTGGCAGCTCGAAGAACGAGAAAATAAACAAGAAGTGAGATTACAGCAGTGGTTAGAGGAAAAAGAAAAGAAACAAGAAGAGAGACAACAGGAGTTCCAAGAGAACCTGCAACAGTGGCAGCTGGAACAGCAAAATAAAGAAGAGAGATTACAGCAGTTGTTGGAGGAAAGAGAAAAGAAACAAGAAGAGAGACTACAGCAGTGGCAACTGGAACAAGAAAGGAAACAAGAAGTACAAACGGAAAACTAGTGAATTTAAAAGAGACTTGAATACATTAAAGGATGATTTATTGTCTTTTACACAATGAGGATACATTAACCATCGACTTAATCAGCACCAGACAATGACAAG